AGGAGATGAAGAGGGGAGGAGAGGAGGGGGAGGGGGGGAGGAGGAGGAGGAGGTGAGAGGGAGAGAGTAGGAGCAGTATAATAATAATAATAATAATAATAATAATAATAATAATAATAATAATAATAATAATAATAATAATAATAATAATAATAATAATAATAGAAGAAGAAGGGCAAGAGTCAAGATAAAAAGAGGAAAGAGAATGAACATAATAAAGATTGTAAATCAAAATGATGAAGAAGGAAACAGTAGAAAGATAAAACAGAGAGAAAGTATGAGACACAAAGAAAATAGAAAGTGGAAAAAACAAAATATATTACCTGCAGGAATGCCATGGAGAATAGACCTATAGCTCTCAAGATCATACAGCCAACAGAAACCTTGCTGCCCACATGAGTTCTCCCAGAGACGACATGAATAATCTGGTAAAGATAACATTTTACTTTATTGATATATATCAAATGCTAAAAAGTGCATTTTCATATACCACATCATGGTTACTAAATCACAAATAGAGGGAGCTTATGTACTCATAACTGTAAAATAGAAACTGTATTTCAGTATTTATATATTCTATATGATCTAAATTTCCAAGTAGTCAGATGATATAATAAACTAAATACTACCTTTTCAGGCAGAATTAAAATGGAAACTAATCCTCAAATTAATCACTTCAGCTAAATAAAAATGCATCATAGCAACAATTAACATCAGCTCTATAGGAAAATTAATTTCATAGTAATAACTGATTTAAGTATTTTATGCCATTACTAGAATATTACATTACCTATTGCCCAGCCAAAGATGATTGGTGCTGGTATGGAAGCACCCATGGCAATCGCTGCATTAAACACACCAAGCCCGACATCTTTGTCACGTTCTTCCACACATCTGATCGTCAGGGAAAGTATATATTGTATTTAGTTTGATATATATATGTATTAACATGCTAAGTTATTAAGCATTAAACATAATTTGTGCACTGCAAATAATGGCCCTCCTTCAAAACCAAGATATGATAGAACACATTCCACTACATTATCATGGACTATAGTGTATGTAAATGAAAGCTTAACAGACGATTAATGATTTATTAAATATAGTTAACTGAAAAATACATAAAACCAGACAAAACAATGGATAGATTAAAATAATCAAAATATCACAAAATATTACAACCTTTTATATCACTAACCTAAAGAGAATAAGGTTGACAGGCACCCTGCTGGCAGCATGCGTCATTTTAGTGAGGACTGTGAGGG